CAAGTTGAGACAATTTGAAGAACAAAAGGGCTAATTTCCCCATGGGGAATGTACTTGTGAAGTTATCTGAAGCTCTAAAGAACTTCCTTCTTTGCTTGGCAATTCTAACAAACTATCAGCAGGAAATGCCCCCGCAGCAGTCCTCATCTGACAGATACAAATGGGCTACGAGTCTTCAGACTGGAACCGTTAGTGAAAATATTAAAAGAGTTTTCCTGGCTCTTAAGAGTGGTGTTTTATGCAAAGGAAATACATAGAGAGAGGAACTCAACCCAAGAGCTGGGCTCTGACTTGGGGCCTGCCCTTGCAGTCCCCACTCCAGTCTGTGAACTCTAACAGCATTTTCCGCCCCTCCATGGCACCTGTGGGTGAGAAACACTCTGGGTTTGGGTGACTGCAGATCTCACTGCCTGCCAGCCACGCTAACCTCTACGGGAGCTCTGCCTACAGCACGCGATAGGCTCAGGACCTGTATTTATGCATGGGGCTGGGCAGCACTATGGATTTCTCCTGGGAGAACAACTTTCATCACTTCAGAAAAAAGCCTGGACAAGGATGTGCTAAGAGCGGTACACGGCTAGTGCTATATCCTCTTTCCTAGCCAAGGAGAGCACTAAGGATGAGCATCAGCAGCATCCGATGGCTCAGAGAGTGGCTGCTGGTGAAGTTCGGGTAGTGCAACTTCGTGTGCAAGCCAATCCCATTTCTGTGGGAGGTGTTTCCTGCTGGAGGGGGCACGAATGAGAACAGGACTCACAGGGAGAAGAGTCACCCTGCACTCCTGCAAATGCTCATGTGTCCATACCCATGGTTATTTCCAGTAGTGTATATGGAAGATTTAATTTCCCAACAATGTTCATATATCATGCTGAAGGCCAGGAGCCCTTTGGATGAAAAGAAATGAAAATGCCCACAACCCACTGTAAGCCTCCTGTCAAAGGAAATGCAAGCAATGAGTGCCCTTCTTCCTTATGTCTCTGCAGAAAAGCAGTTCAAACTTCTGCTCTGAGGAAGAGTCAATGAGAGGAAGCAGAAAGAGAACAGATAGCTGTAGGTAACAGGCCCACACCCAGCCTTGCTAACACTCACCAAGGAATAGTTGTGCTGCTCTGCGAGCAAACCAGCTCCAGATAAAGCTTGCCAGGGCTTCCCTGACTCCGTCCCTGTCCCTGGAGACAGCCCCGCAGCCTGCCGGCTCTGTCACATCCTCGGGGCACGCTGCTCTCCAGGAACCTGCCCCCAGGCTGGCGTGCATCAGCTGTTACTTATCACACCCAGCACTACCCTCATTCTTGCTCTTATTAATGCTGTCATCCTTCTTAGCCATTTCCCCCCTCCCAGTTTGACCATGTTTAGTCCTTTTTAACCTTTCTGTGTAGATAATCCTTCCCAGTGCTATGAATAAATAAAAGCCTTCTGTTCTCATCAACAAAATGGTCTTTTAACAGTTGCAAGAACAACACAGCAATCACTTTGGGGGGGAAAAAAAACCCAAACAAAAAACAAACCAGAAAGAGCTAATATTTGATGCATTTAAAAATCTCTGCTCCAGCTATTTTCTACTTTTCAGAAATAAGTAAGTGCTTTGTTAAACAGAGAAAACGGTGAGAAAATTAATAGGGAGCACAAGCAGCAGTAGGTGTCTGAGAAGGACCTGCTAACCTATCAAAAATGCTCACCACACACAAAGTAGCAGCAGGGCTGAAAAAGAAAGCTGAACTTCAGTTAGAAACATCTAAGGAATATGAATAAACTGTTAGAGCTGCAACCTTTCCCTCTGCTTTGATCTGACGTTACACATAACTCCAGAGTGGGAAATTCAACAGCTTCAAAGACGGTCAAAGAGTCGAAGGTCTCCATGTACCCAGACAGGTAGAGGGTTTATTCTACCTGGAGAGAGAGGGAGGTTGGAGCGGCTGTCCTCAAGGAAACCTGCTGCCAGGTTAGGGCTATGTACTTCACCTTCCTCATATTCACCTAAGACAGCCATGTCACCCATAGGAAGCACCAGCAAGTTCAAGTGAAAAAGAGGGCTAGTGCTGGGACTGTTAGGGAGTGTAAGAGAGAAGCAAATACATTTCTGTGGCCCTTGCATCTTAGAAATGCTTTTGGAACTGCTCTTAGTTGACATGTGCTTTTGAAGGTGAAATTGCGGTTGTTCTGGGCTCTGGCCATGTAATGCAACCACAGAGGATAAGATCTCAGCAAATGAGATGTTCTAGGAAGAGAGATGAGGATAGCTGGAACATCATGTGCTTTACCAACTGAAAATGCTTGGTATGAGAAAACAAAGCCACATTCTCTATCCTTTATTCTCATTTTCCTTGGCTCTCAGCTTTACAGATCCCTAAAAATACTCCATTATAACTAAAGGAGCTGCAATCTGCCTGCGACTGACGGACGAGTTACAATATCACTCAGTTCCATGGAGGCATTCCTTCTAAGAGGGCTTTCCTAAATTGGTTGCCAATAATCTGTTTGTCTCTTTTTTTTTTTTTTCCTGTCATGAGAATGTTGCCATAATAAAATAATAGTAACAAAAGAAAAGAAATCGAAGAAGTGAGATATTTCAAAATACCTAAAGCTTGCAGAAATGCAGAGCCAGGTCATCCCAGCAGCCTTAACTCTGCCTTCATGGAGCTGTGTGCCAAGTAAACCCAGCAATCACGGGAAACAGTTCCCTGACTATTAGAAACACCATACAGGAGACCACAGGAAAAAATTCTGTATTACAAAGAAATACCATTTTCATCTTTCATGGGACTGATATAAACCAAAGCAATTTAGTACTATTAGATGTAAGGCAGGGTTAAGAAGTCTTCTGGAATTAAATTTTCACCACTTATCTAGGAGGTGCAGGGGTCTTGGGATTACTGTGGAATTCGTTGAAGAGTAAAGGTACAAATCCTGACGTACTAAGAGGTCTGAGCCAGTGATACCTTATACACAACAATACTAAGACCCAAATTTGGTTCGATACTGTGACCCTGTGAAGTGCCAGCCTTTGTGCTGAAGCCTTGCATAACAGGAAACAGTGGTGCAGAGCAGCCTTTGGCAAGATTTAGAGCCAGTGCCTAAGCTCCTATGGACTCAGCAATATAAATGGAAATTATTTTTCCTTCTTTTGACTGAAGTAGAGACACAATATAAATCAGTCAAGTCACGCATCCCAGAGCCCTTGTAACTTCCCAACTCATTTGGGAAATCATGCTAGCCATGCTGTGGAACTGCATGAATAATCTCATGGATAATGGGACTAGATTGGGAATTTTGTCCATGAGAATACCAGGAACAGAACAATTGTCCAGGTTGGGAAATCTATGCCAAGCCCATAAAACTGAGAGCCACTGTAAGAGATGGGGAACAGAAATTATTTTGCTAACACAGTTGAATAATTAATATTACCCAAAGACATCCAAAGGACGGGATGCAAAGGGGAAACACTGTTGAAGTGATTTGGCAGAGATAAAGTGGTGGAGGAAAGCTATGAATTTCCCAGTCTAATTGGAGCACGTTTGGCCATGGAGGTGTTTATGTCCTTCAGCTCTCGCTGGTATTCAGCTCAGCTGCAACCTGTATTTCATCAAATAAAGTTTATCCTCACCGTTTACCTCTTTAGGTGCAAAGATTATTTTACAGAACCTAAAATATGTTGTCTTTCTAAGTTACAGGGAATCTAGGCTCAGTCAGATTAGTTCTTTGTGTAACACAACTGTGTTTCCATTGTTCTGCTTTCAAGTTCCTCTCTACCCTCTCCCCACTGCTGATGAAGAAAACCAAACTGAATTTACAGAGAAAACTGTAGGTTTGACAGGGAGAATGAAGTTGTTAACTGGCCTGAGCAACCATATTTGTACTAATTGAACTAATTAATCCAGCAACATCAGTCTATAGAAAAAAAAAAACAACCCACATGACATATTTATGCTTCTCTAGTCAAAAAGATATTCAAGGAGAAAGCGAGCAAATAACTGTCTCATTCTAAAGCACAAAACATGCCTGACAGAAACCTTCACCCCAAAGGCCCTTCTCCATCAACAGAAGAGGCATTTTCTGTACCAAATCCATGTGATAAATACAACCTTTTATCGTTTCTTCTAGGTTTGTTGTTTCAAATATTGTTATTTTAACTCTACTTCTTAAGATCTTTATCAAGTTTTAAGGGAATGAGGAACCAAGGCATGACATTAAGCACGCACAGTGAGCCACTGCAGTCTCTTGTAGGCCCATGGCAGCTCTGAACAAGTTGTTTGTGTGTCCTGGAGTTCAGTAACTTGCTGTATATATTGCCTGTGGTCACTAACGGCAGCTGCAGGGTGAAGAGCGTGCAGCCTGTTCCGTCACCTTTCTCATGAACCTCATGTCATGCAGACAAACAGAGAGGCTGGGCAGTAAGTGTACATGGCACAGCGCGGCCCAGACCTACAGGCTGGGGGCTGAAGGGGCGTTGCTGAGCTATCACAGCCTTACACACCCTCAAGCTGCTGCCTTGTCAAAGATGAGGTGTGTGGAGTCAGCCCCGGTGTCTCTGCTGGTCTGTGGAGATGTGTCCAAAGAAAGGTCTGCGCTGTCTCCAGGCCTCTCCACGTCCCAGGGGTGCACTGTCTGGTTTTATCAGACCAGGGGGGCTACACGGTCATTTCAGCCTCCCCTCTGGGATCATTTAGGACATCGACCATGAATCCAGCAGAAATGGCTCCTAGTTCCACTTCCACAGAGCACAATACCTCTTCACCCCACAAGTGATAGGTGACAGAGAGAGGTCAGAATAGCACCAGCAGTAATGTCAAGGGCAAGGCTGAGGAAAACTCAAGGTAAAGAGGGATAGCTTTTTATAGATTCAATATGCAGATCTTTACAAAGCAACAGATGATCCCTTTCTCCTTTATGCTGAGGTGTAAATATTTTATTGACTCTCTCACTGCTGAGTAGCTTTAATGGCATTTACTTCAGTAAAGTCCTGAGCTGCTATAAATCAAGTACTGTTTTAGGTTACTCACCATGGTCATGGGCAAAAACAAACAAGTTAAGTCCTGTCAGCCTCTGGGCCAAGTCGTCATAGCGGCCGCAGTGTTCCCCAGCACCATGAGCGATAAACACGAGGGCCCTAAACGGAGCAGCAAGGTAAAAATCATTAACTTGGCAATCAACCCACAAGGGCTTCAGAGCTGCAATTAAAACCAGCATATTGAATTTAGCAACAGCATTTCAGACCTCAGCAAATACACGACAAGTATATAATGGCTGAGGGCGGTTGAACAGAGGGAAGGGATTGCCACTGAGCTCCCATCGGCCTGGTCCTCACCGGTGGCAGCAGGACAGAGCAGACAGAAGTCAGCTGCTGGGGGGACAGACACTGCTCCTTCCGTGCCTCACGGTCTGCTGCGAGTCAGCGTGCAGCTGGGCGTCAGCAGCAGTCCTGGAGCTGGATAACTGTTGGGCTTCAGGCTCCTACACTGCTCCTACAGTCTAAGCGCTGCCCTTTGGGGATCGGTGTCTCTCCATGGTTTCAAATACAAATTATCGTCCTTCACTTTACACCTCGCAGCGTTGTCTGATGTTATGGAACAGTGTTAAAGATAAAATTTCAGCTAAAGGATAGGTCTCAAGCAGAGTCCAGAACTTTGGTTGGAGTTTGGAATTTTATCTTTTGACCCCGTGTCTGGTAATTTTACCATTCCAGTTTCTTCCCCAAAACAGCTGCTTTACTGTGGTGACTAAAGTGACTCTTACATAGCCACCACACGACTACAGACAGTAGTCTAACAAACCTTTCTTTTCTGTAAGACACCCAAATACTTACCTTTGAAGACTCCAGTTTTATTAACCATACTTTACTTTTACTGGAATGGCATCAAGTGAGAGTGACTGAAGTTGAATGAAACTTCCCAGTGTTTTTACTGGGCAAAATTTGTATGGAGTTAGGCTAGAACTATAGCAAAAGTAGCAATGCTATTACAGAAGTTTTGCTAAATTTGACAGGTGACTATTTAAAATCCAGCTTTAGCAACATAAACATAATGTGTTAATTTAAAAGTACCATCTGTCATTGCAACATCAGCAACCACAAAACAGCTTGAAGGCTACAAGTTAGACATTTTCAGTACATTAACAGTGAAATATTATATGAACTGACAACAAAATAAAGCCGTTTACAGCTAGTGAATTCCTCAACTTTATTTTGACTGAGGTTTTGAATACCTTTCTAGACACTGTATTCACTGCAATAAACTGCTTTGATCTTAATACATTTAAACTTTAAAAATATGTTGGATGATGTAGAAACTCCTGCTCTAGCTCTTTGATTAGCACCTGCTTCAAAGTATTTGCTCATGCTAGACAACTTGAAAGAGCATCCATCAGAACCAGGAGGATTCTACAGAGCATACTGCAACCACAAAAGCAGCAATGCAAAGATGCTCTGGTATCTGTCTAATACTAATTTAGCAAGGGTGAGGTGAGGTCAGGTAGGATATTTAACTTGCTGTGCCGTGCAAGTGTTCTTTGGTATCACTGAAGGTTTGAAAACGATCATTGTGGAGCAGTCATTTCTTCCTTTGTCATCTTCCCCAGTCAATAGATTTGTCAAGTTATCAATGCACCTGCCAGACAGCCTGATTTTCAGACTGCAGGGTCTATTACTATATCTCCAAATACTGAAGAAATTGAGACACTGCAGAATATTACCTTTCTGTGGCAGAGGCATCATGGCTTTCCCTGTTCCGCCTTGCCCAGGTGCAGGCAGCCCAGCAGAGCCAGTGGCCAGTGCTGGAAGAGCAAGTCATCGTTCTGTACGTGTCCCTGAAAACTGGAGGCACCATCATCCAAGTGCTTCTGCCCCCACCTACACATAACGCTCTGGTATCTCAGCCCTGGTCCTGTTTCACCTAGAGGGATATCACAGTCCTCAAACCTGTCTTGCACAGTCCCCTGCATGCACAGGATGCAGAATCTAAGGAAATGTGAGAGAAAATGCCTGTGTACCCATCACCTTGATACCCAACAGGCTCAGCCAGGCTACACCTCTCTGCCGTACACCTCCTGTTACCGGGCTCTTGACCCTCCCTGCTCAGTGCCTTACTTAAGCCCTTGGTTACTCTATAGAGGACCTGTATTTTTTTCTGCTGACTAGGCACAGGGACTGAGGTGCATCTTGGCTGACTGAACACAGCCCTTCATTTCTCGGAGAGATATTTTTTGAATGCATGCACTGAAAGGCATCAAGTGAATGAAACCTAACGGGAAGCTGGCAAAGAGATCTCCGCCAGGAAGTTCTTGCTGTTACTTCACCCCACGACAGCCCCCCTAATTCTCTTTCATTCACAGTGATGCAGCACCATGACCTTGCCTGACAGGATCCTGCTAGATGCTCAGACCCCTCATCTTCCATGAAACCAGTGAGAAAAATAAAAACCTCAATGCTTCAGAGAAGCAAGGTGTTCCTGCAACCTCTCCTCTCATCTAGCACAATTGCCAGGCGTTGCAGAATCGAGCCTTGGGAAACCACAGGGAAGAGACCCGGGTTATTATTTGTCTGCAAAATGCTGAATAAAATTCCTGAGACTGTTTGTGCCTTTAAGAGCCCTAATGGCAGTAGCTGTTGAGAAGACTTAGACGCTTTTGTAAGTTTTGTCCTATCAAAAGTCATAAACAAGGAGTAAAATTTCCCAACTGTTATGTCAAAACAGAAGCAGCTCAAAAAAAAGTGAGAGTGGCTTTACTGACTAAAAACTAGGTCACATCTACACAGCTCTTTAGCACCAGCCTCCAGGTCTAAGCACAGGGGCCGTACATTAAACACAACAGCTTGGAAAGTTGAAGTTAGTGTGAGTATCATCTGAGCAAGGATTTAAGGATTTGTCTCCTTCGCCTAATCTCCCGTTTTCCATTAGAAAACAAGTTTGGATTTGGCAAATAATACCTGAAGGCAGTATAACAAATACATGGTACAACGTATTTTCACTAGCAAGCTGGCATGACAACACAAGTGATTAGATTGACTGACAGAAGTTCTTTATTGTCTGTAAACATTTTTGGAGAAAGGCCTGCTCTCGAATCGCAGCCTGCTCCTTCTACCACAACGGCTGGAATAACAGAATATCAGAGACTGCCTTCCACAGAGTCATTTAAAATTAATACAGAAACCCTGCAGGCTTTAAGATTTTGCAGGACTGCGGTGCCTCTGTGAGCAACCTCAATGGAAATTTTGTTTAAACAAGGTCTGTGTACTGGCCACCTATCAGATTGATCCTGGGGAGAAATTTCTTCACCTCCAGCTCTTGCAATTGCACTGGTGAAGTCCTGGGAACTCACCTCTCAGGTAGAAACCCTGTGCCCGGCCTGCAAAGCTTCCTGGCGGGGACTGGCCTGTGCTAACTCTGGTCTCTTAACTGCAGGCAGGGAGACCTGATGTTTCTTTGGACGCTTCACCTGGGTTCTGCTGGTGGAACTGTAATTGCTGAACATCTTGCAACAGCATTGCTTTGGCATCTGCTCAAGAGAGCACCTAATCACACCTCAGCACCATTTCCCCACGCTCAGCAGGTGTGTCTCCACACAAAACCAAGGGGTGAGCTGAGCATGAGTAAGCATCCACATGCTTGCTCTCACCTAACTAGTGCAATGACAATTACGGTTATGAAAGGAAACCAGACTGAGTGGTGTTTGCAAAAGCAACAGTTAGTTTTCACAGTTCCCCACCCTTCCCATAGCCTTCATCATCTCCTCCACCTTCCGTACTGCAGGTCTCTGCCTCCTGGCACTCCGCAGCTGGGCAAACAGATGCAGTTACTTATTACAACAAGAGGGCAGGACAGTATTTGTCTTTGCTGTTCAAATCAACCACTGGCTGTAGCTACTCATCTGCCATTAGGAGGTGATGGCCCCTGCTCCCACACCTCCACCGTGCCGGTCACCCACGGCTGGCGTCAGTCCCTGCAGTGTGCACTGCAGGTTGCCAAGGAGGCCACACATGGTGATGCCACAGGCGCAGCTGGTACAAAGCACGTGTAAACACCTTCTCCTGAACCAGGGAGGCTGCGAGGGGTGGAGGCCGGGCTGCAACGCGCAGGCAGCGTGCCCAAACCCATATGAACACCTCGTCTTTCTGTCCTGCCTCTCGGAGAGGTCCCAGCTGATCTAAGCTTTAGCTCTCTGCAATCCTTCCGGATTTCTCACCGTAGCTCTAGTATTTCACTTCTTGGGTGGGAGCAGCTTTGCTGCACGGGAATTCAGCCTCAGGTGCAAGAGCAGAACCAGTTTTAGAGGTTCTCACTTTCGTCATCGCCGGGCACTCGTTGCCACCTCTGCCCTCTCTGCTGTGCCAAGGACAATTGTTTAGAGATGCAACTCCACAATGAGTTGCAGAGAATAATTGTGGGGAAGATAAATTGCAGCACCAGGCTTACGCAAATGAGCAAGAGCCGCCTTAAACCAGGGCTCTGTCACGAGGAGAACCACACCTTGAAACCCCCCTCAGAAAGCTGCTGTGCTATGAAATCTGGCAGGCCAGAAACACAGCTCGGGACGTGGGTCCCGCTGGGCATAAGACCCATGTTCTTGCTTTATTTTCAACACAAATCATGTTGAAACTGAACGAGGCAAGGACGGCTGTGAGTGGATGGTATGATTTTTAACATCTTGAGTCCTTGAGTCCTCTGGGGACAGGGACACTTCTGTGGGACTCCATTCATGCTCTTTTATTGTCAGAAAACAACCCAAAACACTGGGACTAGACCAAAGAACTGAAGACAAGCTTCCTATGACTGCAGATATGAAAAATGCAATCTCTTTCACCCCGTTCAAAAGTATCCCTCTTCAGAACAATATTTAAGTACTTGCTTAACCTCAGGAAACTTTCTTCAACTCATGAAAGTCAGCAGGACTTACAAAGTACAAGATGAAAATTAAAAAATGCTTTATAAATTCTGTCCTGAGTACGGACTGATTTAATCACACACAGAAATGATTTCCTGAATCCAGCCCTTGCAACTTAAGCTAATGCCATGCTATTCCATGTCAGGCAACTATACTTTTCATTTGGTATTATGAATGTCGTTACCAGAACCAGATCAGCTCTAACAAAGAACATCTGACTTGAGCAGTTTT